ACGTACTAAGGACGTCAAATTGCCAAGGCATTCAGGGAGTTGCCCCTTAAATTCAATGGAGGAAAGATCCAATAATATAAGATTCTTCAAATTGCATAGGCCTCCTGCAACATATACCATTTTTCTTCATTAAATTTATTTAAATCCTCATAACAATGTATTTAAATTAATATTGAGGCCTAGGAAAAAAGCCTGAACATTGAGCCCAAAAATATAAGTAAAAATAAATGAAATATTGATGATGCATAAAGAAAAATAAGAAATATAAAATCATTTCCTTTTATTAGTTTTAGCCTGTCCATGTGTGTAAATACGGCTCGATCTTATTACTACCTCCGGTTTTTAATATAAGACTTTGTTTGACTTTTATTTTGGTCCTAAATATAAGAACCCAATCCATTTTGTCTCTCATATTTACGTATTTTTTCCTAAGGTAGTTCTTCTAACAATGGTAATTCTAACTAATATACTTGATTAGCAAGGATATTTTAGAAAAGACAACACATATTTATTACAAATAACTAACTTAACTTATTTCCTTAATCTCTTTATATTAGTCAACTAGTCCTTATAATTAGGACCGGAGGTAGTATTATTTTGTCAGTTGTTATTTGTTTTGACTACATAATTTAAACTACTGCTCCCAGGGGGAAAGCGAGTTGCCGCATGCCAGTTAGGAGATTGACTGGAAATCAGTTTCATTAAACAGTTGACTCAATTTGCACGAGCAGGGAAAATATATTTGGCCGTTTAATTAAAATAAAAAAAAATTTGTCAGCAAATTTGATGTTTATTGGCGAATACTCTCAATTAATGGATTAATATTTTCTTTTCATAGCAGATGCTATAAAATATGATCCGTATTACCTTGTCGTGGCAATGATCCTTTGAGTTTGTTATGACTTTATGTCAACTAGGCGAGGGAAGAAAGAGACGTAATATATTCTGGAATACTACCCTCCAAGTAATTTGTATCAAGCAACAGGGACTTCAAATTACGGGAATGGGAAAGTTCTGCCAAATGCCAAATGGAAATTTGTAGATTAAGCGAGTGCCCAATAAATATACACACACATGGGGCATATGTGGAAGGTGCTGATAGCAGTAATGAGCACCATGATACTTCTCACTGTGATGAAATCTAAATTATTGAGATATAGTTTTAATGGTTTAAATTTAAAATTTTTAATCAGTAATTTTTAAATAAAAATTATTCTTTTTTAAAAAACTTACTATTAAGATATTACCTTTATTTTGGATTATATATCTATTGAAATAAAACATTTTTTAAAAAATATTAAGTATAATTTTAGCCATCCATATCAAATCTGAATGGTTAAGATTCAATGAGCATTAAGGTGTTTACCATGATAAGCACTAAAATTGATTTCAAGCTTATGTAGTAAAAGGTATTTTGATGGGGCATTTATGTATATATAAATATAAAATGTTTTAATGAGTTGTCATGTTTCCATCATATGTATGCTGAGTACATAATAAAAAGGTCATCTTATTCAACTCCCATTATTCTCAAGAATTTCTAAAGTCTGACTAATTATTAATTATCTAATTAAAGACACGCAAATTGTTGAGTTGAGGTGATTATATAGGAGAAGGCAAATATATAGATAAGTATATTAATAAATCTAATACCAACTGACTTCCCCTCACTTTCAGGCACCCCTCACTTTCTCCACTAAATCCTAATAATATGAACATGATTATGGCCATCACGCACCACACATCTTGTGATCTCACTGAACGATACCCCATTTTTGAGTATGCTTAATTAGCTTCCTTGTTTGCCTATATATGTCTTCCATTACGTCCTCTCTATCCATATATATATAGGCCGGGAGGAGACTCATTTATTGCTCTCCGCGTTCCAAGGCAGTACACGAGTTGACTCATTTGTGGAGAAATGACTCAGACTGAGGATTAAAAGAACACAGCATATACTCAGTGGCCAGCCACCAATAAAGCTAACAACCATGCAAGACGCGTGACGACCGAGTCGCAGTCAAACAGTGGGGGGCTGGTGTAATCTAGCCATTGGCCAGTGAAAAGAATTAAATTATTAAGCATTTATAAAAACATTTTCACAAAATAATTAAAAATAATAATAAAGCACAGACTCATCAATCCTCTGTTCTGGGTGTGATTAGAATCTATGACACATGGAAACAAATCTGATCAACTAGAAATCTGACAACTGATGGACTATTCAAACAATGTCGGGACAGAGCGCAGTTATAGCAGAAAAGGTATAACAAACCATAGTATACACAGCAAGAACCTCATGCAAACCAATAATCATTTCTCCTATGTTGTATCAGCCGTATGGTTAACAAATGACGTAGTTTCCTGTTGAATGGGCCGTGATTATAACAAAAAATACAGATAAAGTTGCTGATGTGATTTCTGCAATATACTACCTCCGGTTCTAAATATAAGAGCTAATTGATGAGACCCTAATTCACTTTGTCTCTCCATTTAATAACTAAAGGAAACTTAAGTTTTGTTTTATAAATGAGCTTTAAGATTGTTGGCAGCTAATTCTACCAATCCAGAAAGTATTCTCTCAGAATGCTCCACTTCGTACCTGACGCAGACTTAAATCGTTTGGTGTGGAATATAAGGAAAAGATGAAGACTACAGTTGCTTACACTTGATATACTTATAAGTTATATCACAACTATTCAAAATCATTGTATGAAGTTTATGGCTTTGCGGTCTAGTGCCATAAAAGCTCTCATATGAGTAGAAAGTCGCGGGTTTAATCTCACTTATAGCCACAAGCCATTAGTCGCAACTAAACACAAGGCAATAATGGCTAGTCAATATATAGTCAGTGATTATCAAGGGTAATATAGATATTTTACAAATTAATTTCTCAAATAATTAAAAAAATTAATACGCCAAACGGTTATTAATTATTTGCCTACTCCATGCTCCATCCCTACTCTTTCTCTATGTTGATTTAGAAGTATGAAGCCAAAGCAGAGACAAGTACATAGACAACATGTGTGTGCAATATTCTTATCAAATTATGTCGTTATGCTTGAATGAGACTGCAGAGCACAAGACATGGTGAGAACTTTCTGAAACTTAGAAAGCTTAATGATCTCAAATGAATGACTTTGTGAGTGCATGATTACTTCATCTAGACATGATTCCTTCAAGAAACTTCCAAAACAAAAAAAAAATCAATATCTTCACTTCAGTCTTCACCGGTCCTTCCAGAATGGCAAGAAAAGGAAAGTGAATGCATTCTTCTCTGGAGATATATTTATTACCAAATTTTTCATATTGACCACATTTAATTGATCACAATTCCAAAAACCTGTACTTGTGTCATGATTCTTCCAAATATTAGTGGGACCCAAAGAGGACACGTGGCTTATGATCACCCAACAAGTATGGTGCCTTTGCATGATGCTGTTAGCAGTAACCGAATGGAATCTCAACAATATGAAAGCAATGCTATACATGCGGAGGGGTGTGGATGATTTGTTTGAATTCTCTCTCTGGTCCCATTCTTGGGAATTTCTGTCAATTTATTTACAGTACTATTTGAATGTATCCTCGTATGCTTATATTTGTAACTGGATTGAATATTAAATACCTGCTGATGATTCCATTGTGTTGAGATATTTTGGATTTAGATCGTTACAACTTGCCCCTTCACCATAATTGAGATATGCACTTTTCTGTGTGACGCTGAAATTTCATAGACAAAGCTCATCAAAATCTTGACGTTGATCCAACCTAATTCTACAAATATGAATGTCAGTCAAACTGAAGATGTTAAAATAAATAAACAAATATTACTGTTATGAGAAAAAAGAATCATGCAGCTGGCTGTGGCTTTATTCGTAGGGGTCCACCAAATCAATGCGATAATATTTTGATTGACCATCTCTTTGTGGATGTGATTTTGCAAGGATTGTTTAAAAGAAGAAAAAGACAGAGAGAAAGAAAGAAAAGAAACGAAGAAATTTTAAAGCAGTTAAGTTTTCTGGGTAAGGCCGACCCATAATCTTACTGCTGATATTATCAACACTGCTAAAACTGGATAGATGGAAATTGTCCACTTAAAAGTGATTCAAAGAAATTGTACCCACATTCAAAGACGGGTATATAAAATACGAGCTGGATGGTACTTGTTGCTGAATCTTCGGAGATTTGCATTATCAGTTACAGTCTGTTGTGTGTTAGGTGCTAAAATTGGGTTTGATTCGATTGCACTGTAGAGACATGCTTAAACGTATGAATCAACTTCAACATACTTTTATGATTAAGGCGTTATAAATAAATCCAGAAAGCAGTGTTCATAAATAAATATTGATGATAGGAACAGAGAGGCAGAGACGAAATAGATACATGATATTGAAGGATTTTGAGAAGGAGATTGCCAAGTTATACGCACACATGACACATAAATATGGGTTGGCGGCAGCAGCGGCTAAGGTAGCTTAACGGAAGGTTCGAATAATATTGTGAAATTTTGGTTAAAAAAAAGGAAGAATATTGTGAAAGCCCGTGAAGAAAGGTGAATTTGAATAGCCTTTTATAAGGCTGCTTCATACTTTGTTTCTCTGTTTATATACACAAAGGACACAACAAAAGCACATTAATAAAAACTTGTCATTGTAAGTGTACGTGCAAATGTACTTTCACGTTAACATTTGCTGTTTTATTTACTAAGTTAGTTTATTCGACTATTTATCACATAGTTAACAACTATACAGCGCTACGTTAGAAGTCCAATCATTGAACTAAACGACCACGTGGAGACAGACAAAGTAATAATGATTCGAATATTTCAATTTAGTTTCCTTCTTGATCACGAGAAGACCTAAAACTAGCAATCCCTTGGTTATTGTAATTCTAGAGATGATCATCAGGCCATCTCTTACATGATCAGAATCCTATGAACTAAAATTAAAATGTTTTCCTATTTTGCCACCACTCATACAAATAACTTGTTACAGCTCGCTCTAGTATGAGTAGTCTGTAATTGCAAATGTAAGGGTTCAAATAAAGAACTATAATGATACCTATAAAAAAGACCCCAAATGCTCCAGCAAAACTCCATAAGAAGGCACCTCGAAAGTCATCCCCTTCCAAATGATCATGAGGTTGCTTGTTTCTTCCAGCTTTTAAGCAATTTTGCTGCAGAGGCGGACTAGATAGAAAAGGGTTCCCTTCATAACTGGTTGAATCAAAAGTTGCAAATTGATTTTTCATGTCAGGTGTCATTCCTGATAGATTGTTATGAGCCACCGAGAAGACGGACAAGGAGTACAACTGAATTAGTTGTTTAGGAATGTGACCTGTCAATTTGTTGCTTGAAAGATCAAGGCTCTCTATCTGCTTGAGGTTGGAAAATGTTTCTGGAATGGGCCCTTTCAATCGATTGTTTGACAAATTTAATGCATGGATACTGCCTAAGTATCCAATTTGTGAAGGAATCTCACCTATCAATTGATTACTTGAGAGATCCATCCCAGACATGAAATTTAAAATGCTTCCTTTGTAAGATTCATACCTGCTTTTTGTTGTAAAATGAACTTCTTGGTCTTTATACAGTGTAAAATTTTCTCTTTTTTTTGGTATGGAAACCTCACCGGTTCGAGAGTCAAATTGATAATTTGAATATCTTGTAGTCCATGACACAATAAAACGTCCTATTTCCTTTTCCCTCTGTGCATCTACCTTCCCAAATGTGATGTTATTCAAGCAATATGGGATGCCTCCAGAAAGCTTATTTTGAGAAAGATCTAATAACCTGATATTCTTGAGCTCACATAAACGGGTAGGAATAGAGCCTTCAAGTTTGTTTCCTTTTAACATGAGGACCCTTAAACTCAAAAATGAGCCATTAAATCTTGAAAGCTGACATGAAAAATTGTTATTCATCAAATTTAAAGTCAACAATAAAGGGGAATTAGCTAAAGTGGAAGGTAGAGGTCCCATGAAATGGTTGCTCTCCAAATGCAAGTACTTCAACTTTGGAAAATTTAGACAGATTGGCAAAGAGCCATTGAATTTATTTTCAGAAAGGTCTAGGCATGTAAGTTGGGTCAAATTGCAAAAGCTTTCTGGTAGTGAACCTGTTAAAGAATTATTTGACAAAGTGAGGTAACTCAAATGTTGAAGGTTTCCAATCCAGCTAGGTAATTCACCAGATAGTTGGTTGGCACTAATATCCAACATTCTTAATTCAGTACTATTCATGACCCCACCTTCAAGTTTTCCTTTGAAGTTATTGTTGTTGAGATCCAAAAGCGACAAAGATGTGAAATTTGATCCTATAGGAAGACATGGGCCACTCAAGTGGTTGTTTGACAACTTCAAAAACCTCAATTCATTGTTACCTTGACCGAATTCTTGGGGCAAGTAACCAGATAAATTATTATTTGACAAGTCAAGATCATTTAGTTGTCTCATTTCACCTATTGAAGCTGGGAAGCAACCTCGCAATGAAGTGGAAGACATGTTAAGAGAGATCAAGTTGGGAAAAATGAAGCCAATATGAGAAGGGATTTCATCTCTGATGGGGTTTGATGAAATATCAAAAGACTCCATTTGAAGCAATTTTGAGGTGAAATTGAATTCAAAGGGGCCAGTGAACAAGCTGCGGGTCAAATTGAAATAATTCAATTTTGCGTTGTTTGCCAAAAGCCAGGACGGGAAGGCCCCTGAAATGTTTGTGTTGGTAAGTTCCAGACGTAGCAAGTCATATTGATGAAAAAGAAAGGTAGGCATTCTTTTAGCGTTAGCTTTGTTTAGAGTACAGTTGCGGATTTGGAAAGACCTCAATTGGAAGGAAGGAATAAATGGGGGATTCTCTGTTTCAAGCCTCAGGTTGGTGTTAGAGCATGAAAAGGAAAAGACTTTGAGGTTGGAGTTGTTGGCAAGTGAAGAGAGTGAAAATAAGCCGTTGAAATTGTCATCGAAAAGCAAAAGAGCTGTTAGAGACCTCAAAGAATGAAAAAGTAAGGAAGGAAAAGTTCCTTCAAAATGATTTCGAAAAAGATAAAGCGTATTTAAGGACGTCAAATTGCCAAGACATGGAGGGAGTTGCCCCTCAAATTCATTTTTGGTAAGATCCAATGATGAAAGATTCTTCAAATTGCACAGGCCTCCTGCAACGTACACCATTTTTCTTCATTAAATTTATTTCGTCAGAACAATGTATTTAAATTAATATTGGGCCCAGGAAAAGTGCCTCAACATTGAGCCCAAAAATATGAGTAAAAATAAATTACTAAGCCATTTCCTTTTATTAGTTTTAGCTTGTCCATGTGTCTAAACACGGCTCCATCTTCTTCTTGTTGTTGTTGTTTTGTCAACTGTTATTTGTTTTGACTAGATTATTTCAAACTACTGCCGCATGCCAGTTAGGAGATGGATTGGAAATCGGTTTCACTGAATAGTCAACTCAATTTGCACGAACAAGGAAAATTTGACTGCTTAATTAAAATAAAAATTTTTATCAGCAAATTTGATGTTTATTGGCGAATACTCAATAAATGGATTATTTTCTTTGCATCGCAGATGCTATAAAATATGATGCGTACCTTGTTGTGGCAATGATCCATTGAGTTTGTTATAGCATAATGTCAATACGGTGAGGGAAGTAAGAGACGTAATAGATTCTGGAATACTGCCCTCCAAGTAATTATCATTAAGCCACAGCTCCTTCAGATTACGTGAATGAGAAAGGTCTGTCAAATGCCAAACGGACATGTGTGCGTTAAGCCACAACTCCTTCAAATTAATATTTGTGTGTCTGTGTTGTTAAAATTTATTGATAATGAATCTGCTAAGTAAGAAAACGTCATCTTATCTCTTACTTTTGACATTTCATTCAATTCTCTCAATTAAGTAAAGGCACATAAATTGTTCAGTTGAGATGATTATATGGCAAAGGTAAATAATTCGACTTCCCAACAAAATCAAGAAGAAAAAAAATAGAAACTTTCATATATTTAATGGAGAAAACTTTGTCTATATATTCCTTTTAGCATTTTTCTTAAAATGATGGCCCGGTAATCTTTTTTCCAAAAATAGATATACTTTTGATGCACGTTTCAGTAACTACATATGTCCCTCAAAATATGCTATAATATAGAAGACAAAGATTTAGCACCGAAATATGGAAATTCTGTGAGCATATTCTTTTCTAAATCCAACACTTCCAAGTTCACCAGCCTGATGTCGCCAAACAGCCCTGTCCCACAAACAACACGTGATCAGCAACTATGAATGTTGGTGGGTATAAAGAATTATAAAAAATAATTCGTATAATTAATATCATCATCCTCTTCATAATTTAACATGAAGTGAAAGTTTGATAATGTAGTTTTATTAAGCTTGTTTTGGGCTCCTCTATATATCCAAGAAAATATCCTGCTTAGTAATTTATTTTTTTAAAAAATATTTAAAAACCTGAATCAAAACGTTTAGTATCTCAAACATTTTCTAAATTATCTTACTTGAATTTTTTTAAAAAAAAAGAGTAATAAAACTTTTGGTACTCAAATTTAATTTGTATCCGTTATCAATTTGGTCTGTGAAGTTCAATTTTTATCAATCAAGTTCCTAAAGTTTCATATATACGCAACTTTACTCCCTCTAATGCTATCTATAAGATATAAATAATTAAATTATGTAGATTATATAGTTTGTTAAAATTGCTTAAAGGTAATAAATATGTAAAAATGTACTAGTATTTTTTTTCAAAAATAATATGCATATTTATGGAGAGAAATGGCGAATGAGAGAGAAATTAAGTAAGAAAAAGATACATATGAGAGAGAATAAATGAAGTGATACAACATATAGTTATTGGGAGAAAATATAAAAAATTGGTTCAAATTTCATAAATAAAGTGAAATGAGGGTTATCACCCTTGAATTAATGGTTAGAGATAGCACATGTACGTTTAGGATTATATGTCTTCAAACCACAATGTATAATTTTGTATGATTACGAAACTTTAGGGACTTGATTTACAACAATTAATTAAATTTCATGACCAAATCATTAAGTGAAGCATATTTGAGAGACAGAGTTTCATTATTCCAATCAGAAATTTATCCACAAATATTTAGCTAGAACTAGAATGGACTCTGACCCCAGCAAATCAGTGGGCTAAAAGAGGAAACCAACAAAAAAAAAACGAGATAAGAGGCAATGAATGATATGATCATAATAATTTTTAACTAATTTTTTTTACTGTAACTAACGTGCTTTTACATCTTCAAAAATCACAGTTCACACTTCAAAATGCTTACAAAAACATCGGTCTTAATTAACAACGTATGTCTATGTACTCTGTGTATATCTATATGTATGCATGAATGATAGAATAGGTAAAAGAAAGAGGGTGACCTGACAAGTAATTCCCATCCAAATACAACACTTGAAGCTGGATGAAGGGGAGAAAAGAAGAAGCATTGAGTGACCATTTGATGTGTCCCAACTCTTCAGCTCTTTTGTAACTCAAATCAATTCCTATCACTCTGTGAGTAGAGTTGTCACAGTATACAGACTCCCAAGTGCAGCAATCAGAGAAGGTTTGGTTATTCCAAGAAGGAAGAGATGAGCCATTTGGATAATTGAAAGCTTCTTTCAATTTCAGAAGAGCTTCTCTCTCTTCTTTTAAGCACCCCTCAGCTTCTCCGTTAAACCCTAATAATATGAATATGATTATGGCCATCACCCACCACACCTCTTCTCTCATTGAATACCCCATTTTTCTCAATGCATGTCTTCAACTGCGTGTTGTTCATCTATATATAGAGGCCCTTTCTTTGCCTGCAAGACTCAGATTGGGCAAAGGCAAAATAGAAAGCTCCACTTCATATTTGACAGTCTGAAAAAAAAAAATTTTGGGGGGGGGGTTAAGATTCCTTCCCCTCAAGACACAATTATATTGACTTGTATTAAAGGATATGGTTCAGAGATAGAAAATGAATTATCAAGTCATCTTATTCAGATCAATAGCAGAGTACATGATATATAGTAAGCGGTGGGCATCAGCATAATGGACACGTGTGCACATAACGACAGCTGTAGCTGAACGACTTCTAAAACAACTTTCTAAACAGTTTTAACTAAAAGTATTAATCAGTATAGATGACAACTAATATTCCCCCTTCTGTAATGAAACGAGCTATATGACTTCAGAGATTGGAGTTAATCTTGCTCAGGTCTGATCCCTGAACTTCCTCTCGAGAAACTATATTCAGCTTATCACGGCAGTAGGCAAACATCGCATGAGATAATGGTTTGGTCAGTATGTCTGCTATTTGATGTGAAGCTGGCACATATCTAACATTGAAAAGTCCTGCAGAAATCTTTTCTCTGATGAAGTGCACATCCAATTCAACGTGCTTTGTTTTTGAATGGAGCACAGGATTTGCTGCAAGTGCAACAGTTCCTGAATTGTCACACCATATAGTAGGAGCATCATCAATCACCACTTTCATTTCTTTTAGCAGTGACCTTATCCAGAGTAGTTCAGTAATACAGTCTGCAACACTTCTGTATTCTGCTTCTGTGGATGACCTTGAGACTACTTGTTGTTTCCTTGAAACCCACGAGATTGGTGTAACACCCAGGAATACACAGTATCCACTAGTGGACCTTTTGTTTTCAGGTATGACTTTGATTACCTCTTCTGGACGTTTCTTCTCTGTGCTTCCCCCCCAATCAGAGTCAGCATATGCTTGCACTACAAACCTAGTGGTAGGCTTGATGAGTAACCCATAGCTACTTGTGCCGTTGAGATAGCGAAGGAGACGCTTAACACATTGCCATTGTTTTCAGTTGGGGTGTGCATGAACTGACTTAACCTGTTAACAGTGAAGGTTATGTCAAGGCGAGTGTAGCACACATACTGTAATGAACCAACAATGCTACGATAGAGTTTTGCGTCAGGAAGCAATGGGCTGTCAGTGGCATGAAGTTCAATGTTGGTCGCCATAGGAGTGGCAACTGAATGAGAGTTGAGCATTTGCGCCTTGACTAACAGGTTATGGATGTACTTCATCTGGGTTAACTGAAGACCAGTTGATGTCTTATGAAATTCAATCCCAAGGAAGGCAGACAAGTCACCAAGATCCTTTAAGGAGAAAGCATTACTCATTTCTGTAATGAGATGCTGAATAACAAGTTTGTTAGTACCGGCAATAATCAAATCATCAACATAAACCAATAAGTATACAAGCCCCAAATGATCATCTCTAATGAATAAACACGTGTCAGCCTTTGATGCAGTAAAACCAAGAGAGTAGAGATAAGTACTAAGTTTTGTAAACCAGGCACGTGGAGCTTGTTTTAGGCCATAGATAGCCTTTTTCAAGCGACACACTAATGGCTTGCCAGTGGAATCATACTGAACAAAACCTGGTGGTTGCTCCATAAACACTTCCTCAGACAAATCACCATTGAGGAAGGCATTGTTGAAGTCAATCTGATGCAGAGTCCAACCCTTTGTTACTGCCAAGGTGAGCAGTACCCTCACTGTTGTGGCCTTAACCACTGGACTGAAAATGTCTTGATAGTCTGCACCTGCCTCCTGAGAATAACCTTTCGCCACAAGGCGACCTTTGTATTTGGCAATAGAGCCGAGTCTAGCTGTTCGTACGTCTCAAATTCAGGATTGATGATCTCGTCATTTAAGTCAGTGCGAACATTTTTCGGTGGAATTTTGACCGATCCATCCAGATAAGAGAATAATCGGTGCTGCTTGACCATAAAAAACACCTGTTGTTTCCAGATCAGATAGTTGCTGTCGTCTAACTTCACATTGATCTTCTTATTTGTAAAGTTCCGAGCATTCAGACCAAGATCGTTTACAGAGGAAGCAGCAGGAGTGGACATTGTTGTGCGATTTGTCAATCCTTGAGAGGAGACTGATCGCGGCCAATGTCTGTATGTCTTTAATCGGTGATCTGAGCTCCGCCAGTGTGGCGAGGCTCTGATACCATATTAAAGGATATGGTTCAGAGATAGAAAATGAATTATCAAGTCATCTTATTCAGATCAATAGCAGAGTACATGATATATAGTAAGCGGTGGGCATCAGCATAATGGACACGTGTGCACATAACGACAGCTGTAGCTGAACGACTTCTAAAACAACTTTCTAAACAGTTTTAACTAAAAGTATTAATCAGTATAGATGACAACTAATAACTTGACCCCTCAATTCATGATCTTGACAATTAATTGCTAACAATGTGCATCACACAAATTGTTCTATTCTTATCACTATTTATTCAAAATCAGTGCGAGTGGTCATTTCTGCACAACGTATTAAAGGGAATCTTAAATGCCAGATTGTTGGGTAGACGAGGTTGACGGTGCCACGAAGCACGAAGTAAATTATACATATATGTGTCGAAAGCTTAAATATGCACCATGCGACTATTTACAGTCATGAATTTCTATGATTCATTAATTAGGATATGCATTTGGGCATAGATTTAGAAGATTATGACTTAATTTGTCTCCTCCAAGTGTATATTGATGTATTAGGCCTTTAATATATGGTGATTTGGGCTCTCATTCCATATTGTAGCCTCTTGAAGATAAATCTCTTCCTACGTTGATCAACTGATAGTGTTCTTTAAAAATTTGGTGAGAGATTAATAAGAACCAACTTGGTAATTTAACATTGGATATTTCAAAGAGTATCTTGCAGTAATTTCATTTGTGTTCTTATCATGACTAATAAAAGTCAGTGCATGTGCCTCAACATTCTGCAAAATCTACCCTACAACGCGCATCACATTGGGCCGTCATTGACCAACTCCTATCCCACATCTCACGTCTTGGATGGCTAGGTATCTGTACGCATTCACACTAATTTCAAATCAAACCTGCCAGCAAGAATGACATTTATCATAAAGTTATAAAGAGTCAAGTTCTGAGAGGAATTTAACGTATAGTTTCCTTGTTGAATCCGGGTCGTGATTATGGCAAGTTATGAAGTTGCTAATGAGCAGAGAGGATGTGAATGACATATAAATCTCATTCGTGTCATTTCTTCGATTAAAGAAAACTACAGTTTTGTTTCATAAGTGAGCCTCTTTAACGTTGTTAACATACACACACACACACACACCTATATGTTTCGTGCATGCGTGATTCTTTGATATCTCTTTATAAAATTTGAGATATATCTTCACATAAAGTCTAAATATGCAGTTTCATTTGCAGTTAAGTATTGTTTTGGATTTGATTTATTTAGGCCTTTGTCTCAAGTTTCTATGGATCAACCCGATCCAAGAAGTATTCTCTCAAGTGCTCCCCTTCATAACTGACACAAATTTGGAGTCGTTTAGTCAGAAAGATTAGAAAAAGATGAAAGATTCCTTGCTCCCAAAATAAACGATGGGGCTTGACGTAACCTCTCGATGACTTATGATTGATCCTGACAGTTGCCAACAATGTTCACCACACAAATAAGCTTTATATATATATATATATATATATATCTGTGTGTGTATTCTTATCAAACAAACTTTGCCCCATCAAAGGGAGTTTGGAAAGCCAGACTGTATATGGTAGACTGGGATTTTTGTGCAGAAAGTAAACTATACGTCTAAACTCTGAAGTTTATTTCTACACGTTTATCTGTGTTTAGCACTAAAATTGACTCCTAGGCACTCAGTTAAGGCTAATTATTAGGATAAAAACATATAGAATTAATCTAAACTGGATTTTCCGGTTTGAACTTGATTAGCCAAAGACTGCTAATTATACAAAAACAAAAAAGATAGAAAAAATATACTACCTCCAGTCCTAATTATGAAGACCTCATTTGTAGTCTACAAATGAGGTCTTATAATGAGAACTAAAGTAGTAATAGGTGAGTTGGTTTGCCAAACAAAAAAATTATTTCCGCTAATCTTTGCTTGTTTTGGGTCTTGTTCATTGGTTTTAGACTCTGTTTATTCTTGATCTTACATTTTAATCATGCACAGTTGCTTTTAAAGATTTATAGTATTTTCCCGAGAGCAGTGTTTCTTTTTGTTTTGTTTTGTTTTTTTTTTTTTTTTTGCGCCTGCCCAAGATTTCTTAGTGTGAGTCTGAGATATGTCATATTTTAATGAATTTTTATGTTAATGTCGTGTTTTATATATAAAGTTTAATTAGGCTATAGCAAAAATTACGTACGTTCTATAATATTACAATTTAAGTGTCCTTCAACAAGAATCAAATCTTCTAATTACTATTGCCGAGTTGCTGTAAATCTTAATCTTGATTATTTTATATATTCCAAATGTAACATCATGCTATATATATAATTAACTAAAATCAGATTCTGCTTGCCTAAATAAATTTAAAGCCTAACCTTTTACTACTATACTTGTTAATTATTGATGCGTATAATAAGAGTCCCCTGTTCAGCTTGTCTCCCTCAGAGTAGACATTTATAGGAGCAGATTATGAATGAAAATTGATCAGATTATAATTTGGGGAAAATCAAAAAGATTTTTTTTCTTGTAACATCTTAATTAACTCCCACACAACAGTACACGGAAAGTAAAATGAAAGGGAAAACAATATCATTGTTTCACATAAACTGATAAGAGTAATGAAATCTTAATAATCAAAATCCACAACAAAATTCAAATGAGAGAAACGCAACATTTTGCCAAATTAAAAAAACACAGCACTTACTTTGTGGCAAACAACCAATAAAGCTAACAACCATGCAAGACTTGAAAAGTAAGTCACAACCAACAAAGCTAACAATCAAGACCTTGAAAACCAAGCCACAGTCAAACCCCGGTTGGGGGGGGGTGTTAATATAGTCAATGGCCAGAGATCCCACAGACTTATAAAATAATAAAGTTAAAATGTATTTTATAAAAAGAATTTCATTAAATATAAATCACAGACTTATCATTGAGTGACCATCTGATGTGTCTCATCTCATAAGGTCTTTTATCATTCAGATAAAGGCTTATGACTCTATGAGTGGAGTTGTCACACTCTACAGCCTCCCAAGTGCAGCAATCTGCAGAGAAGGTACGGTTATTCCAAGAAGGGAGAGAATAGCCATTTGGATAATTGAAAGCTTCTTTCAATTTTAGAAGAGCTTCTCTCTCTTCTCCCAAGCACCCCTCAGCTTCTCCATTAAACCCTAATAATATGAATATGATTATGGCCATCACCCACCACGCCTCTTTTCTCACTGAATACCCCATTTTCCTCAATGCATGTCTTCAAATGCGTGCTGTTCATCTATATATAAAGGCCCTTTCTTTGCCTGGAAGACTCAAATTGGGCACTGTGTTCCAAAACTCAAATTGTCTTATTTGTGGAAAAATGGAAGAGAGGCAAAATAGAAAGCTTCACTTCATATCTGACATAGACTTGCTCGTTTAGTCAGAAAAATTAGAAGAAAGGATTAAGATTCCTTCCCCAAAATACGCGATTACATTGGACTTGAACTCTCTCAATTCATAATCTTGACAGTTGCTAATGACAATGTGCACCACACAAATTGTTACATTCCTATCTGCGTATGCTTTGCCATTTCGATCTGCAACGTATCAAAGGGGATCTTAAGGAGTGCGCATGCCTTGCAATAATGTCAATTGTGAGGATTATTCAAAAATCAGTCTAAATGATCAGTTTTCCCCCCAAACAAAAATCATAATCAAAATTCCAGAAACTATCAGTATTAGCTAAGTTTTTTTTTTTTAGGCACTGACATGGATTTAGAATCGTTTAGTCTGAAAAGTCAGGAAGAGGTTAAAATTCCCTCCCCAAAATGCACGGTAGGGCTTAAGCTCTCGTTTTCTGATGCTGACAACAAACTTTGTGCATTCTTACCATGACTAATAAAAATCAGTGCATGTGCCTTGACTTTTTGCACAATCTACCAAACAGCGCACATCAAATTTAGGGAAAGTTGGGGCCACGACTGACCAATCTATCCAATATTTCATGTCCTGGATGGCTAAGTATCTGTACACATTCACACTAATTTCTAACCAGGCCTATCAGCAAGAATGATATTACCTCCGGTCCTTAATATAAGAACTAATTGACTAATTTGAGTAGATTAAGAAAATCAGTTAAGTTAGTTATTTGTAATAAATAGGTGTTGTCTTTTTTAAAATATTCTTACTTATCAAGTATAGTGGCTAGAACTACTACTATTACAATAATTATTTTGGAAAAAAATGAATAAATATGAAAGACAAAGTGAATTGGGTCTTATATTTAGGACCAAAATAAAAGTCACATGCACGAGCTTTTATATTAAGGACCGGAGGTAATATTTACCATAAACGAGTTGTGAGAGGACCTTAACTTAGTTTCCTTGTTGAATGAGTCATATGATTATCAGAAACGATGAAGTTGCTGATGAGTAGAGAGGATGTGAATGATATAAATCTCATTCGTGTCATTTCTTCAATTAAAGAAACTAGAATTTTGTTTCATAAGTGAGCTTGTTCAACGTTGTTAACAACTAATATATATACACACGCGCGCCTATATTTTTCGTGCATGCGTGATTCTTTGATGTCTCTGTATAAATTTTGAGATATATCTTCACACAAAGTCTAAATATGCAGTTTCATTTGCAGTTAAGTATTGTTTTGGATTTGATTTATGTAAGCTTTTGTCTCAAGTTTCTATGGATCATCCCGATCCAAGAAGTATTCTCTCAAGTGCTCCCCTTCATAACTGACACAGACTTAACTGGAGTCGTTTAGTGAGAAAGATCAGAAAAAGATGAAGAGTCATTGCCCCCGAAATGCACGATTGGGCTTAACGTAACCTCTCGACGACTTATGATTGATCCTGACAGTTGCTAACAATGTTCACCACACAAATACATAAGCTTTATATCCTTATCACAAACTATTCAAAATCTCAGTGCTTGTGCTTTTGACATTTTCTGCACAATCAAACAAACTACGCCCCGTCAAAGGGAATTTGGAAAGCCAGACTGTTTATGGTAGAGTAAGGGTATGTATGGGATCACAATGGTGGCTCGCAAACTAACTTCACTGGAAAAAAACTGAAAAAAATAACTTCATGCTTAAAATATATGATTGGATTGGCTGTGGAAGTAAATCGAGGTACGTTTAAAAGTAATTTGTTTTCCCCAAAAATTCTAACTTATTGCTCTTGGCTTCTACGTACATCGCACGGTTGGATAAATGCGGCTCATATGATGTGACTGAGAGAGGAGAGAAATTGCTTCGTGCGAGTTACTTTTTTAAATATATACTAAAATTTATGTCTTTTTCAGTTATTTTTCATCTAAACTTACTGTCTTATTAATTATCTAAACAAGTTTTTGCTTCGCAATTTGACTCTTTTATAAAAAAATAATCCAAAATAAATCACATTACACTATCTGATTTTTTTCTAATATGATTTTTACAAAAGTCACATTGAAAAAAAGTAACTTCTCACACCTTTAATCCAAACACCTCAAAATTGCTCTACAGAAAGTAAATTATACGCCTAAACTCTAAAGTTTATTTCTATACTTTCATCTTTGTTTGGCTCTAAAATTAACTCCCACGCACTCAGTTAGGGTTAATTATTTCTACTATTTTTATTTTTCGGTCTTGTTCATTGGTTTTAGGCTCTTTGTTTATTCTTGACTTTATATTAAACCATGCAGCGTTGTTTTTAAAGATTTACAGTATTTTTCAAAGAGTTCTTTTTTGCTCCCTGCAATCCCTTAGTGTATGAGTCTGAGATGTGGCATGATTATGCACACCAAACACTTCTGTATATTTTAAAGAATTTTTATGTTAATTGTCGTGTTTTATGTATAAAGTTTAATTAGGCTATGGCAAAGGTTACGTACGTTCCATAATATTACAATTTAAGTGGTTTTCAACAAGAATCAAATCTTTTAATTTACTATTCCCGAGTCGCTGTAAATCTTAATCTTGATTATTTTATATAAATTCCGAAATGTAACGTTATGCTATGTATATAATTAACTAAAATCAGATTCTGCTTGCCTAAATAAATTTGGGGCTTAACCTTTTATTATTATAGTTATTGATATTGATGCATTTATAATAAGAGTCCCCTGCTCAGCTTGTCTCTCTCAAGGAGTAGGCATTTACAAGAGCATAGTATAAATGAAAATTGATCAGATTATAATTTAGGGGGAAATTAAAAATTCATTTTTTTCCTTTAATATCTTAATTAACTCCCATACAAGTACTCAGCAAGTAAAAGGAAAGGGAAAAAAGTATTCATTATTTCACATAAACTGATAACGGTAATGAACTCTTAATAATCAGCATCCACAGCAAAATTCCAGGACCCAGCAGCAGCATATCGCAGCAACACTGCACAGAAAAACAACGTAAATTAAATTGTCAAACAAAACATACCAATTAATTGACCTCTATATATATATATATATATTCTATAATCTAATAAGAAAAAGGATTAGGAATAGATAGATGCTGTGAGAGACGAGAAAGTGATGAGAGAACCCACCATCCTTTCCAGAAACCTTCACCCTTACTATTGGTCTCAGGTGTGATGTGTGATGAAACCTGGACACCTTGCACGGTGGTGGGATATCCAGGTGGTGGTGTTTGGTGGTGCTGATAAGCCTGACCCGGTGGAGGATAAGCCATCACTGGTGTCGATGGAGGATAAGCCTCTGCTTGTGCACAGTCATATCATCCAATCTGACATATATCAAATAAACAATAATACAGCAAGAAACTGATTAATTAAGTTGAATAATTCTACAAAAACCTGAACCTTGGTTGGGTTGACTCATACTATCTGCCGCAGGTTATTCGCCAGACTGAGAAAGAAGAAGAAAAGAGAAGGGTGATTATATATGTAGTCTCAATGGAGATGAGAAGAATGAACAAAAGGAGAATAAACCAAGGGGTGATTGCTTATAATTTATTTGTAGATAATTTCTATGAAAGGGTCCCACACGGATATATTGGGCGAAGAATTTGAGGTTGTAAGAAAATTTGCAGAAAGCCGAGAAAGAAACAACAGGAAAAGATCAGATATTTAAGCCTGACATAATCAACCGCGTTCATACTCGCTCAGAAACTATCAGTTTTAGGTGGCGTTAGGTAAAGCAATGAGCTAGTTTCATCATAAAGTTAGAAATAATATAGCTCTAATATTTATTAATGATGATGTTATGTGGGATCTGTTTGCTCAAGATAATTGATGTGTTTGTGTTTGATTTGTTTAATCAACATTAATTAATCACAACCTGTTTAGACGTGAACATGGTATCTATGGTAACTGAATTAACCCAATTCTGATTCTGTGTGGTCTCGCAGGTTGACGCTTTCCATGATCCTAATTCTGCAAATCACAGAAATTTCAAATCCTAAGTTCTTAGACAGAGGAAACACCTAACCCAATATATAATCAATTGTAGTTAGTTGATTTTTTTTTTTTTGGGATACAGTGTAGTTAGTTGAATATTGATGAAAAAAGTATGAGCTAATCTTTTTTTTTTTGGGGTACAGACAGGGCTCAGCCCAAAAGAAAAACTAACTCAAAGAGGGATTAAATCCCAAACTATCCTTGTGCACAAGGCCCCTTAGATCATCTGGGCTAACATCAAAATAGGGTGTGTTTGGGATAGCGGTGACAGAAGTAATTTTTTTTCAATCTGACTTTTACAGAAGTCAGATTGAGTAAAAGTCAGATAGTATAATATGATTTATGTTTGGATTGACTTTGTAAAAAAGTCAGTTTGAAAAGCTAAAACTTATTTGGACGATTAATAAAAAAGTAAGTTTAGATATAAAATGACTGAAAAAAATATTCCTTATTTGACATTTGCAAAATTTTAGTTTTTTTTTTGGTCATTGTCCCTAAATCATAATACAAACATTCTATATCTATAATATTTATACTTACTATATAAAAATTTATCAATTACTTCTTACTCATTATATTTATCATCAAAATAAAAATTAAATAAGGTTTTATATTAAAGACTAGAAATAGTATTAAGAACCACCTCAAGTGGTTAGGTTAAAAAAAGAAAAGCACACATCATGCATAAAGTATTCTCTCCCCTCCCTTACTCATGGACCCCACCTATCCAAACTCACCGTGGAGAAGTCAGAAGCAATGGATTGGAGCTTTTGGAAAAAAAGCTCTTTTCAGCCATAAGCCCATTTACTTCTACCGCCATTCCAAACATAACATTTAGACAAAAAAGTTACTTTTTTCATCAATTGCCGGTGGAGAAGTCAGTTTGGATGGTCTCACCGTGATGCCAAACACACTCATATATGACTTGTGTTTGTGTGGCGCAGTGCGGTGCGGTGATCGCATTGATTTGGGTCAAATGGGCTAAAATAAAACCCAACTAAAAATTGGGCTTCAGCCCATGGCAGCAAAAAATTGTTGCGGCCCAAGCCCATCAAAGGTTGTCGACAAATCCTTTTATCCTGTTATCCTACAACTGCTATTCTGCTAACTTCCAACTGTAAACTGAAAAATCTTATTTTAAATTTAGTAAAATGGAGAGACTTTTTAGCCCCAAATGAAATTAGTTATGTATAATCGTGGACTGTATATTAATAATATATCTGATCTGATTTTTTTTTTTGCCAGCAATATATCTGATCTGATGAGTCCGCTGAAAAATGCGTCAATATATATATATATATATATATATATCACCTAAGAAGTAATTATGTGAATTTTTTAACAAGAATGATATTTTGAAAAAATGAAATAAAATTTGTGAAAATAAATTAATTATTTTTTTAATAAAAAAAGAGAAGTTACATCAATAAATAATAGATAAACAGTAAATTAATAAAGTCATCCATTCTAATTGTATATAATATATTACATCCAGTTTTAAATATAAGAACTAGTTAACTAATTTGAATGGATTAAGAAAATAAGTTAATTATTTGTAATAAATAGGTACTTTTTTTCTTAAAATATATTTACTAATCAAGTTTATTAGCTAGAACTATCATTACTAGAAAAACTATCTTGAAAAAGAATAAATAAATATGAAAGATAAAATAGATTAGAATCTTATATTTATTTTACGTCACACAAACATGTGCCACGATTTTGAAACGTCCTAACACACACACACACAGAGTGACTAAAATTATTACTTCCAGAAACCTTAAAAAGAATTAAATTAAATCTTCATTTGAGTCTTCACGCTGGACCCTTCCGGTGATAATTCCAGAAATGGCAAGAATAGAAGAGCTGGTGAATGCATTTTCACTTGAGATATTTTATTTACAATTAATTCACACATATTGATAACAAATTAAAAAATATTAAATTTGTCACAAATTTAAGTAAATTATAATATTATTTTATTAATCACACTAAATTCTAGTATTATACTAATTATATTCTCCGTCCTACTACAATTTTTTGCCGGAGACTAGCCTTACTAAATTTAAAGGAATTATTATTAGGTCTTAAAGAAGATATTTAATCATGCAGAAGTTTATTGACAACCAAAAAAACATAGAATGATAGTAAGTTTTAATACTAGAAATGATAACAGATTTATTATTCATTAAGACTTGTTAGTAATTTTTCCAATCTATAAATTTAAACATATATTGAAAAAATATTTCATGTTTCTTAAAACTATCCAATTACTTGCAATAATAAAAATGCTAGTAATATTTTTTCAATTTTAAATATAAATTTATTTTATAATTTAATTTATATTACAAAATAATATTATATTTAGAATTAAATGAGCAGTTTTAAAAGATACCCTGCTATAAGTTGGAGAGGGAGAATTTATTGCCAAACTTTCCATATTGACCGTATTTGATTACTCACAATTCCCAAAATCCTGCACTTTCCCTTTCACCATAATTGAGACGTGCAACCCTCTGTGATGCTGAAATTTCACAGACAAAGCTCATCAAAATCCTGAAGCCCATCCAACTTACTTCTATAAATACGAATATCAGTAAAATTAAAGATATTAAAAAAATAAACAAATATTATTACTACTATGAGAAAAATGGAATCATGCAGCTGCGTGCTAGCTTTATTCGTTAGGGGTCCACCAAATGAATGCAATATATCATGCAGTCACTTGTCCAAACCTAACGGTCAAATTTATTTATTTTGCCTTTGGTTGGGAATAATAGTTGTAAGCAATGTGTATATAATAATAAAGCTAGGGTTTTCGAGTATCCTAAGCACACGAAGTAAGGTATGTTTCCAATACAGAAAAAATGATCTCTCTCTCTCTCTCTCATAAGTAAAAGAAAGGAACTGTTCATCAGCAACGACAAGGAAGATGATAATGAAGAAGAAGAAAGAACCTCATTCTTCATTATTTATCAACGTCTCTTTCTCTCTCTCTTTATCTCCCTATCTTACTGACACAGAAGATAGAGAGAGAAAGAAAAAGAAGGGTTGAAAAATATTCAAAGGGTTGGTTGTATGTATGTGCTTGTATTGTGGATGTATGGTGATGAACGAGAGAGATTCTGATGAAAAGAGAAACAAAGACAGATAAAGATATATACTTGGAATAATATATATATATATATATATATATAAGATCATAGAGACTAATATATATATGTAGAATAAGGAATAATGAAGAATGACAATAATAGTAAGAACTTTAGCTTTAAGTTGAAATGAGAGAAAAAAGAGAGAGGAAAAAAGAAACTGTTTCCACAAGTCAAGATGCAAAAGGTGTGCCCTTAAAAGTGGGACAAAGCACAAATACACATGATCCCCCCGTAATATCCTTATCCCACTAGCAATTTATACTTTTCATTTACAATTACAAATTAAGCAATGTTGTGAGATTCTAATTAGACACCCTACTTTGATTAATTTACCGACAAATCATATCTTAAACAATACCAAACACTTCAAAAGTTTATAAAAGTTTAATTGTAGCTGAAACTCGTTAAAAATCATCCTAATATCATGTATACTAATTAAAATTATCATCAAATTGGAATTATTCTTTCAATTAATGATTAGTGACCATTTTAATCTTAAAACATTAAATAAAAATTTCATGGGATAAAGCTGCAGGAGGAACCAAATGTGAAACACATCAATTTCATAAATTTAAAATTGATATTGATATGATCATAGATATTTCTTTGTGTCAAAATTATTGTTTAAATTAAAGTAGCTAGAATATCAATCATGGAGGTAGAATGAAAAGGAAACGTGTGAAGAAAGTTGGAGGAAGAAGAGAGTGTGGGATCAATCTAGCAACTTCTTATCTACTCATCTTTCCATTTGACTATTCCTTTTAATTATTCTCTCTTTTTAATGAAACTTCATGATTTAAATTAACTTTAAGCCTCTCTCAGTTCTCAAATATATACTGGCTGAATAATTTGTTTTGAATGTTCTCTCATATATTTAATTAATTGATGTACAGGGCCGCCATGACCGAATAATTATATAGTTTTCCTTTCCAAATCGTGAACATGAATACATACTTGTCCCTCCTCCTCATCATATTCTTATATTGTGGCAATAATTATATGTAATACTACCATGATTATAAGATTCACATATATATGTATGTGTATATATCAGTCCAAAAAAGTGTTTGTTTGTACAAATAATAATATTCATAGTCAAGTCCCATTCATTTGCATCACTCATAATTATATTTTTTTTAATACAAATCACTCATAATTATATAAACCAAAGTAATACTCCTAACCATTAATGCCAAATTAAATTTGGAGTAGAAGTTAGTTACTATTAATTATTAAATATATCATTGTCACAAATGGAGCCTTGATTGATTTTGTGACTCTGCCTTAATTAATTCACTCTGCGTTGGTGCCTCCATTCATGTGCATGCACCTAGACAACTATTAATTTACAGTCAACTTATTTTTAATCTATATTAAAATATTACCATCCTCGGTATACTTTCTGATGCAATAGTAATGCTTCAGTAACATATATACATATATATATATGTATCTATATATTATACCATTAATTAAGCTTCATTAAATGGTCCATTTCGTGTTTATAATCTATCTGTATGTAAAAGCACAGGTTAGCAGATCATGATTTAG